TGACCAGTCAAAAATCATTTTCTCTCCTTTACCTTTGTCACTGGGCCCTGCAATCTCTTCGCTTCCCACCTGCTCCTTAGATTCGCCAGCTGTATGAAAGCAAAGTTAGAATAAAGTATGAATGCCTTCAAGGTTATGTTTTGGACTTATGTCATAATGTCATATGGACTCTCACAGTCACTGTGTAGGCTAACACAATTCCTGCCAAATAAAGATATTAAGCGGTCTAAATAGAAAACCCGTTGCGCACTTTTAGGCAAGCAAATTGGCCCAGTTAGTAGGCTGCCAAGTTCATAAACAGCATGCACTGCTAGCGAGAGTAAAGGCGACATATCTTAAGCAATTAGGAGTTCAAAAAATCAATTCATTGTTTTTTACATTCGATAGTGGGTTTTCCAGGCTCAGGCTTACTTTTTCCTTTTTAAACTGCACCAATAGGCTTAAAATATACTACAATAACAGAATTATTTACATTTGATTTCTTACACTCGCTGAAATTATCGAGAACTCTGGGTGGGGCACAAGAGCATAACATCAGTTTTGGAGTGTTTAAACAGTCAGCTGTTAACTACTATCACTTCTTAAAATATTTTTTGAAGGGCCACCAATTTCCTTCATAGCTTTTGTCCCTGTTACCTCTCGTCCTGGATAAGTGCGACGAGGGCATACCCTTGACCTACTTGTAACTTCCCCGGTAACATTTTCGAAGCGTTAACAAAAAAAAAAAAAGGAAAAGTAGTAAAAAATAACTAAAGATCAAGCTGGTGTTCGCTTTCCCTCAGAATTTTTTTTCTAATGGCCTTGAACCTCATGTTTCTTTATATCGTGTAAATTAGGGTTCTACCGATAAAACGCCTTGTAATCGCGATATATTTTAAATGTTGTATCAGTAGCTATAGGTTACACCTACAACTCCTGTCCGTCATAAAAAAGGGTTTTTAATTCAATGTAAACTAGAACTTTCATAGAACTAGGTAAGTTATCAACATCAGAGCCTTGTATTGGTCTGTAGACACTCCTACTTACATGAATAGTGAACAATTAATTACCTTCTTTTTGTCTTCTTCGTCGGTACTGGCTTTCTCCATGATGAACAGTAACTGCAGCAAAAAAAAAAAAGCACCTTTCATTTGACTAAAATGTTGGTTGTTTCGTAGAGGTTCAAAAGTTAATTACTCAACTTACTCGAGTCTTGCTAACAAGTAGATATAAACATAACTACGTACGTGTGAAGGTGTAGTCTGATCGTCCGGGTGAGTGTAGTCCTGAGAAGGACTGTTGTCGGTGGCAGTGACTGACGTTTTGACAACCTGTGCGGAAGTCATCATCAGAGTCAAGTGAATGATTGTTGTCAGTAGAATGTTCTTATTCCAGTTCGTGTGAAATGATCGGTTGGTTTTGCCGTGATGTTATTGGCTGTAAGACTCAAGTGACGTAAGTCGGTCGTGATTGGTCTGTTTCGATCTGTCGGTAAAGTTAGGTCGTTCTTTTTCGGTCGTTTGTGATGTTTATGTCGTGAATGAGTCGTTTGTATGGAGCGGGTAGTTGTTGACATCTGTTTAGGGGAGTCTGTTCTAAGTTAGTAAACCAGCTTTCCAGAGTCAGTCGTTGAAAATAGTCAGTGCTGTAGGTTAGGCATTGCGCAGAGTCCCAGTCAATGTTGTGGTTGGTAAGTCGATGGTGTTCAGCAATGTGACAAAATGGACCACTATCACGACAAAATGGACGCACTAGTTAACGACAAACGAACCTACGAAGAACTCAAATGTGACCCAACTCCTGCCCTTCAACGTAAACTGTTGTCATTTGATGACTGTG